CTTCACTACAATATTCTGTAAGTCACAGACAACCTGAAGTCTAAGATGAGTTTCAGGGACAGGAAGAAGTATCCTTGTCAGGATAAATTTTGGGGGGGAAATGATTCCTGGGTGTCTGCATGTCATCTCCAGTTCCTCTACTGTCTCTCGATATGCTGCCTTCTCTCCAGGCATCACCTGCCTTCACATGCCCCCATCAGGCTCTGGCCATCTGAAGACCTTTTCTCCATCACGCCAAACAGATCCACTCCTTTCCAGGTTCCTAGTGGACAGAATTACCCTTCCTAGATCTTCTGCAATTAAACTGTTCACATATTGAGCCAGTTCAATGGAAGCAGCTAAGAGAAAAATCAGTGCAGTTATCTCGTTTCATATAAAATACACTCGTGTTAAACTTACATTTTAGTTACAGATATTCCAACCATGCTGCATCCTGAATATCCCAGGCTACTACCGCTCTCCAGTACTCACACTGCCTTCCTGACACACCAAGCAGGAAATCAGCAACTGACCACTCAACTTCTAAAACACTGCCTGTACAGGATTTAGCTCCCCATTGCAAAATTCACAAATCAGAATCGAGTTTGCTGAATTTTGTTGTGTGTTCCATCAATGTTACACTAAAAAAAAAAAAAAGTTGACTCTTCTCAGAAAGTATCATGTTCAATCAGGAAATGTTCATTAACCTTGCTCCCCGTAAAAGCAATGAAAATCAAAACTCTCTTGCCTGAATGAGACCAAAGAATCTAATCAATTTTCATCACATCACAGATCAGTCTCCCTCCCATTTTCCCAGGAGATTCACTTACATGGAAACTAACAATTCTAAAAGAGAAAGACAAGAACTTACTGCAGTAATCCTGAACATCGAACGTCAGACAATGAGACTGTTTATAAAACAGATATTGAAAGCCTCACTTAATAATTTAAGCAGCATGAAATGCTAAAGCAAAATGTAGAATAGGATTACAAAAAAGAATGAAAACATGCTCCTTTCACTTCCTGGAACATCATCTTCTGGTCAAAATTCCACCCTTCATTCAAGATCCTGTTTAGTGTTTAGTATCATTAGCATCATTAGTAAAATCCCAAACTGACCATTTTCATACTCTTCCTCATGCCTTGTCTAGAATACATATGCAAAAAACATGTCAAATAAGAACTAAATTCAGAGAAAATTACTGAACAATAATTAGAGACATATCAATCTGCTGAACTGTGCGACATTTCCTTTGTATGCACTGGACATTTGAAGCAGGAGTGCTTTTCTAGGTCCCAACAAGGATCTCACACTCTGACTGAGATGGTAACCTCTTCCAAGTAAGTGGGATCCTAATTAGGAACCTCGGTGTTGGTGACCAACGACAGTGCCGAGTCAGGGGAACTCCTTCTGCAATTGGAATTTCCTGGGAATTAGACCTCAGAGTCCACACTGCTTTTCACCCAGGGAATAAAAAAGACAGGGGAACAGAAGAACGGCAGCTTCTGAGTATTTAAGGCAATGGTGCCTTAGATAGCTATGCCAAAATATTTTTACTTTTAAAATGAGAAATTAGAAGAAGTTAACACTGTAGAATTCTTGGGAGGTAGAACTAGAAGTACAAAAAGTATTTGTTCTGTTCCACCCCTGAGTAGAAATTCCACTGGTGTGGAACAAAGCCACTCTTTTCAATGAGGACCCAGAGGTTAGAGGCAGTAATTATCTCTTCAAATAACTATGAAAGCCATCCTTCACCACATTTAATAAGACATCTTTGCATCTTTCACAGGCTGATCTCTCCCTGTTTACATCCTTTCTATCATCTTTCAGAATGTGTCAATTCATGTTAGCTCTCCTAAAGAACCTCTGTTGGTCAGCTCCAATGCCTCTGCCACACACAGCCATAACCTATTCAGTGAAGACAACCAAGCTGTATCCACAATGCAAAACACATGGTCAACACTCAATATCCACTCTAGGGGCTCATGTGGCAGAGTAATTAAATGCCTCTGAGACATGACATGGCGTGCCTGAACGCCTGCTCTTCGAATCCTAGCTTCATTCTGATAGTTTCGTGCTAACGCACACTCTGGGAGGTAACAGATGACGGCTCAGATAGGAGACTCAGACAAACTTCGTGGTGCCACGCTTCAGCCTGCTGTAGCTCTGTCTGTTACAGAATATCAGGAAATAAGCCAGTGATTGGAAGAGATTCATGTCTCTGTCCCTTTCTCTTTCAATCTCTCTGACTCAAAAAAAAAAATGAAAATAATTATGTAAATACACTTTTTAAAAGAAAATGATCAGAGAAGTGCACAATGAAAATTATCATGTATATCCTAACAGTCAAATTTGGTGACTATATGACTAATATTTCTTCCAAAATAAATTAGATTTTAAAAATATGGAAGCTCTGTAAAACAAACTATGTAATCATTAAAAATTATATGTGGGATCTGGCACAGTAGCGTAGTGACTAAAGTCCTCGCCTTGCACGCACCGGGAACCCATGTGAGCACCAGTTCTAATCTCGGCAACTCCGCTTCCTAATCCAGCTCCCTGCTTGTGGCCTGGGAAAGCAGTTGAGGACAGCCCAATGCCTTGGGACCCTGCACCCGCGTGGGAGACCTGGAAGAGGCTCTGGGCTCCTGGCTTCAGATTGGCGCCGGCTGTTGCAGCTGCTTAAGGATTGAATCATCAGACAGAAGATCTTCCTCTCTGTCTCTCCTCTCTGTATATCTGACTTTCCAATAAAAAATAAATAAAATAAATCTTAAAACAATGATATGTGGCTAGATATATAACATGGAAAGATTGCCACATACATCATTGGTACATTTCAAAAACAAAAGACAGCACAGTAGACTATGATTATGTTTTGTATTATATTATTTTTAAATTTCACATAATGAGCATTTTAAAAATGAGTGGGCATAGTTATGCAGAAGTTTAAGCTAATGTTTGCAATACCCACATCCCTTATCAGAGAGCTAGCTCAAAACCTGGCTTCTTTATTTCCCATCCAGTTCACTGCTGACGCAGCCGCAGACTACTTGGGTACATACTACTTTTCAGGGAGATCCAGACAGAGTTCTGTTCTTCTGACTCCCATCTGGCCAACCATGGCTGTTGTGGAAATTTAGAAAAGGAAATAGTAGGGGCTGGCACTGTGACACAGCAGGTAAAGACATTGCCGACAATGTTCGCTTCCTATCTGCTCCACTTCCAATCCAGTTCCTTGCTAATGCAGCTGGGAAAGCAGCAACGGATAAACCAAGTGCTTGGGCTCCTGTCACCACGTGGAATAACAGGAAAAATCAGGGCTGCTGGCTTTGGAACAGAAACCAATGCAGATCTTTAGGGAGTGACTCAGTGGATTCAATCTCTCTCTTTCTCTCTCTCTCTCTCTCTCTCTCTCTCTCTCTGTCTCGCTCTTGCTTTCAGTGAAGCAGTGGATTGTGCTGTTGTTTTCTCTCTCCCCCAACTCCCGTCTACAACTCTGCCTTTCAAGCAACTAACCTTTCATAAAAATAAGTGAAACAGCAGATGAAAGATTTATCTCTCTCTCTCTCTCCTTTTCTCTCCCTCTTGCTCAGTTCTTCAAATAGATAAAAATAAACATTTTTAAACAAAAATAGAGAATTTGAAAAATGTATCTGTTAACACATAGTGTCTATCTCTGGTCAGGCTACCTCTCAAAGATGGGACTTCTTCTTCCTTACCGAAAGGGTATCCCTGATTTAGGAATGACATAATCCTAGCAGTTAGGAATGGCATCAGAAATTTGGGTTGTATTTCAAAAATAAAATACGGACCACATAAACTCAAGAACAACAAAGAGAAGTGCCACCCCACCATGCCCAAATTTAAGAGTTTAACCTTTTATGATAATCAGTGGCAGATTTCTGTAGGAGAAATGGAATGCTCTGCCAGAAATATTACTGTCTGCCTTTAACTTTATTCTGTTACTAACAATCTACTACAGCCATAATTGCTAGAACTCATGGGAGGAATGAAAATTTACTACCAGATTGTATAATCTGCACTTAAACAGCAGTATTTCAGGTGACACATGTTCCTACCCATTTGATACCACAGAGAAAGTACAGAGATATTCTCCATGAATATTTATTAGCAATATTTATAAATACTATATTTTAATTATTACATGTATATATGAATGAATTAATATAATTCTTTATAAATTTATTATTCTTCCTTCATAGAAATTTCACAAAATATTTTTTAGACTCTCATCCTACTTTTTTTTTTTACTTAGCCATAAATCTGAATCATATCAAACAGGACACTTTCATTCTTGTTTGTTTATTCATAAATCAATGCCTTCCCTTTTTAATTCCAAAATAGGGACTCAATTTTTAATCACTCAATATCACAGTTTCCATTTCCACATAAAAATAATGACTGATCTCTACGGAAAAAATGGGATAAAATGTAATTATCATATTGTCTGAAAACATTTTGTTCCTTAATAATGTCACAGTTTCCTAAGGTGACTCTATGATTTAAAACAGCTTCACTTCCCAATTCTATTACTTCAAAACCATAACTACCTTAGGCACTAATGAAAACTCAAGGAGCAAATTCAGATGTTAAAAACATCAAACTCTCCAAACTTTCTATTCAGTATCCTCGTTTTCTTTATTCCTCCATATATGAAGACACTGAGAAACTCAGAAGGCATGAACACAGGAATATATGTGAATTAGAGGAGACAGTCTGAAGAACCAGTGCCACAGACAGCATGCCTAACATTGGATGTTACAGAAAACATGCCCAGTACTTGTGATTACAACAAGCATCATCACCAAAGTCTTCAGTACTAAACACGTACGTGACATTTCAAGTCTGTAGTCCTTCCTTGGTCTTGCCAAGGGCTCCCTATGGTGACATCACTGATCACAGCAGTCATCACAAGAGAGATTTTACAGACATATTGAAAACCCTAACTAAACTGAAAAGACATGTATTACTTAAGGGAATTAATCTCCAAGAAGAGTCAAACTGAATGTGAATTTCTTGGAGTGTGTATGAAAGAATGCTTGCCAAAATGTAAAGCCTTAGAAACCAGCCTCTGCATCGCCACCTTCATCTCTTTATTTCTGAATGTATAGATGACAGGATTCATAAAAGGAGTGACAATAACATTAAAGATAGCTAAAAATTTGTCTATGGGCAATGTGGGAAATGGCCACACATAGATAATAATGCAAGGGCCAAAGAAAAACACCACAACAGTGATGTGAGCCGAGAGGGTGGAGAAGGCCTTGGAAGAACTGCCCGGAGAGTGCTTACGAACCGTGAGCAGGATGAAGATGTAAGACACAAGCAAGATGAAGAAGGTGCCCATGGAGATGAAACCACTGTTGGCAGTGACCAGAAGCTCCAGCTGGTATGTGTCTGTACACGCAAGCTTGATGAACCGAGGAAAATCACAGTAAAAGCTATCCATTTGGTTGCTACCACAGAAGGGTAAGTTCACCACAAAAGCCAGCTGAGCCACAGAGTGGATGAGCCCAATGGTCCAAGCAGCAGTCAAAAGGCAAGCACACATTCTGAGGCTCATGATGGTCAGGTAGTGCAGGGGCCTGCAGATAGCCACATAGCGGTCATACGCCATCACGATGAGCAGCACCATCTCTGTCCCTCCTACCGTGTGAATGAAGAACATCTGAGTGATGCATCCTTTCACAGAGATGGCTTTGTGTTTCCGGAAAAGGTCGTAAATCATCTTTGGGGTGGCAATGCTGCAAATGCCAGTATCAATGAATGAGAGGTTCGCCAGCAGAAAGTACATTGGGGAATGTAGGTGGTGGTCCGAGATGATGGTGAACACAATGAGAAGGTTTCCCAGCATACTTGCTATGTAAAATACTGTGAAAAACAGGAAGAGGAGAACCTGAAGCTCCCAAGAAGTGGTGAGTCCCAGCAACAAAAACTCAGACACCATTGAGTGATTTCCTCTATCCATGAACCTCATGTGAAAGCTCACCCTGATTACCTGAAGAACACAAGAGAGGAAAATGCAAAATATTTCAGTTGAGACAGACATTCTGGTTGTAGATTAATGGTGGGTCCAATGCCAAAAACTTAAGGTCACATTGCCACATCTTAGAATTTACACAGCATAAGACCCACCAAGAGCCAGCCTGAGAATTTTTTTCCATACCTAAGTCTTCAGTATGTAAGTGCATAACCTCAAATTTACCTTGGGCTCTAGTGTGTAATGAAATAGGGAATATTTCAACAAAAGTATGTAAGAATTTAGTAAGAGTTTTGCAAGGAAATATAAAAGAACGACTGCCTATTTTTTACATGGAAAAAATGTCATAGAAGAGACATACTAAAATGCAGACTCTATTTTTGTCTGTTACATAGAGCCACTCTACTATTTCCTGCAGTCTTTACTGAAATGGCTTGAATATTCTAGGTTTATCATCCTCTTATCAGAAAAAGAGATAAATTTTTTATTTTTAATGTTCTCAGATTTAATTATGGTGATATACAATTCGTTAATAACGTATTTGCCCATTCCTTTTTTAATCTTTATTTATTATTCTCATTTATTTAACAGGCTGAGGAAGGGGCATCCTCTGGTTCTCTGCGCACATCTCACGACAGCTGGGCTGATGGTGGTAATAGCCAGGCTGGTACTCCCTGCAGGTGTTTCATGTAGGTGGAGGCACCGCAGACACTAGTCATCATGCAAAGCCCTAGGATGTGCATTAGCAGGAAGCTGGTTCAGAAGCAGAGTATCTGGACTCCAACCATGCACTCCAACATGGGCAGGCAGCCAAGCAGTGCCTTAACGTCTCTGCTGTTTTCACAGTTACCAACCCTTTTCTACTGACCATTTCTTTAATTTCATTTTATAATTTGATGCCTACCAATCTGTTCTATTTCCTTCCTAAATCTGTTCTATTTCCTTCCTATTACTCTCCCTAAACAGCATCTTGTTTATGTAAGTAAAACCAACAAAAAATGTTCAGTGATTGAGCAGGTGCCAAGTCCAATCACATGAGCCCTCACCACTGCCTCCCAAGGTCTATACTGGCAGGAAGCTGGACTCAAGCCACAGGCAGATGTCAAACCCAGCGACTCCAGAGGCAGATGTCAAACCCAGCCCCTCCATTTGAATTATGGGCATCCTAACCAACTTTTCTACCTCCAGATCCAACACTCACCAGTTACCCCATTTTTTTTTTAGTATCTTCACCTATCTTTAAGTTATAATAGATATCCAGAATAAATGTTTTTATTTTTAATCATATCTCCTTTCTCAAATCATAATATGTAAATGCTTCCCCATCTTTACCACCTACAAATCTTTTCCTTCATGTGCTAATGAAACTGGGTTACAAAACTGTAATAAAGACAAGCCTAATTATAATATAACCAATGACTTCCTCAGTTTTACAGGTCATGTTTCTGTTATTCCTGATCTCATACTGTATTTCAAAATATTTCAAAAAACATTGCTTTAATAGATCTTCTGTGTAAGCCAGGGGATTGTTTTGTAGAGAGTCAACAGGTCTGATGATTAGTTCTGAGTTATAAACTCAACAACACTATTTTCCCATCCTCCAACATAATTATAAATAAGACAATTTCTATTAGCTGTAACATAAATTCCACTCTGTTATCTTAGTTATCACTTCCTAGAGTATAGAAATAGCAAGGTTTACAGTATTAAGTCATCTCTTTCATTGATGTTTCCTGTCTCTAAAAAGCTTTCACTTTTTGTAGCAAGTATTTAATAAAGAAATTGTATAGTCCATGCTTTGTAAATCAGAAAAGGGGACTCAAACAATTTAATCGAATTGCCGATTTTGAACAATGAAGTAACTAATTCTTGCAATTAGTTTTCCAAGTGCAAGTTAATAAACAGCACCTGGGGGCTGGCACAGTAAAAGGTAATCCTCTACCTGTGGCACCAGCACCCTATAAGTGTGTCAGTCTGAATTCCCAGTTACTCCACTTCTGATCCAGCTCTGTACTTACAACCTGGGAAAGCAGAGGAGAATGTTTCAAATCCTTGGAACCCTGCATCCACATGGGAGACCCAGAAAGAAGCTCTTGGCTCCTGGCTTCCAATCAGCTCAGCTCCAGCAATTGTGGCCATTTGGGGAGTAAAGCAGCAGATGTAAGGTTTTAATTCTCTCTGTCTGTCTGTCTGTCTCTTTTTTTCTGAAAATCTGCCTTTCAAATTTAAAAAAAAATTGAGAACCTAAAGAAACTGAAAATTTTATGAAAGAACCAAAGGCAACTTTTTTTTCTTATTCTGCTTTTTCCTACTGACTATCTGCCTTTCTCTTAAAAAAAAAAAAAAAACACTAAACAGACAAATTAACACCTGCTTCCAAGTGGTCTCCACCTACTACTCTATAAGCATATACTGTTCTGACAATCTTGAATAAAAAAATTATTAAGGGTATGAAATTCTTGGCACAACAAGTTAAGCCACCACTTGGAACAAAAACATCAAGTCCTTACTTCTCTGCTTCTGACCCAGCTTTCTGCCAATGTGCCTAGCAAAGCAGCAGTTGGCAGCTGGAGTACTTGGGTCCCTGCTTCCTATGTGGGAGACCCTGATGGAGTTCCAGGTTTCTGGCTGTGGCCTGGCCCAGCCCTGGGAACTGCAGATATTTGGGCAGTAAACCAATGGATCAAAAAAGTATCTCTTACTTGCTTATCTCCCCCTGATCTCTCTGACAATTTGCTTTTGAAATAAATATTTTTTAAAAGATAATTTCCAGGGTCATGAAGAAGTATCTTACTTCAACATATTGATTTCATAGACAGCAAACTGATTCTCTGACACCTTCACCAGACCTTTTCCCATATGTTCCCTTGTCACACTGCTGTCAAGTCATATCCAGGCACCCCTTTGCCTAACAGAAGTCTTCTCCAAATTTCTAGCCTTAAAGAAGTATCCATTCTAGACCCACTCTAATTAAACTGCTTACATGTTAAGCCAGTTCTGTGTGAGGAGTTAGGAGGAAGCAGTGCAGTTATTCCAATTTTATATAAATTTTATATTTTTATTTTAGCTGCAGATATTTCTAATCATCTATGCTTTTTGCCTATTCCAGGCTGATACAATTCTCCAAATCTCACCTTGTTTTTCCTTGCACATCAAAAAAAAGGAAATCAACAATTATTACTTCAGCAAAATTTTCACAAGAATCGACTTACATGATCAATGATAAAAATTTTCATTTATCCTGCTCTCAGATAAAAGCAATAAGAACCAGAATGTTCTCTTACCTGGGTTAGACAAAAGAATGTAATCAGGTCTCATTAGATGATGTGTCAATCCCCTACAAATTTTGTGAAAAGATAAGAAGTTTTGATTACAGTTAAACTAGCATTTCTAAAAATAAAGATAAGAATCTGAGTGCTACTGAGAGCCAAATAACAGAAATTGAATTCATAAAACAGAACTTTAAAACAGAACTTAGGAATTTATTCACCATTTAAAGAAAAATATAGCACAGAAGTACAAAAAGGAACAGAGAGGATGAAGGAGATACAATGGGTCTTACTCATGGACATCAGCATCTGGTCAAAATTTCACCCTTCTTTCAACATCCTGTTTTGTGTTTTCTGCTTCCAAAAAAAAAATTCTCTGATACCATTAGTAAAATACATACCTCACTTATCTTCCTGCTCTTCTCCATGCTCTGCCCAGAATACAGAGGCCAAACTGCAGATTAAGAGGAGAAATAATCATTGACCAAAAATTGGAAACACCAACTATCCTGGAAGATGTTGCATGAATGTCCAATCTGCTGAACTGTGTGACATTTCCTTTGCATGCATTGGACATGACAATATTTGAAGCAGGAGTGCTTTTCTAGGTTCCCAACTAGGATCTCACACTCTGACTGAGATGGTAACCTCTTCCAAACCAAAGAGTCTCGTGTTGTTTTTCTCAGGTAAGTGGGATCCTAATTAGGAACCTCGGTGTTGGTGACCAACGACAGTGCCGAGTCAGGGGAACAGCCACTCCTTCTGCAATTGGAATTTCCTGGGAATTAGACCTCAGAGTCCACACTGCTTTTTACCCAGGGAATAAAAAAGATAGGGGAACAGAAGAAATACAGCCCCTAATTTTTTAGTGCAATGGTGCCTTAGATAGGTGTGCCAAACTTTTTGTTTCAAAATGAGAAGTTAAAAGAAACTGGTAAACCCAATTTTTTCAATTATTGAGAAGCAAAACTAGGACAATATGCTCTGTCTAGTACTAACAGAATCATGGGGGGAGGGGAAGCATTCTTTTCCATGAGGACCAGAAGGTAGGGCTAAATGAGAAGCCACAGACTATGGAAAGCTGTCTTACTTCATCCATTTCACTTTTCTTCAGGCTTTGCTCTTAGGCTCAAGAGCCCCAGGACCTCCATCAGAGAGCACTAGTAAGCTAAAGCTGAGATTTATTACAGTTAAAGAATTTTGCCGGAAAGTTTCCAAATAACCATAGCTTTTCCAGAAAAGCTTTCATTCACCACATTTGATAGAAAATTCTCATATCCTTCAAAGGGTCCTCTGCTTCTCATTACCTCTGCTTCTCTTCCTGCCATCATTCTTCAGATATTATTAACTCATTTAACTGTTACGTAGAAATATAACTCCCAGCTGTAGGTAACTACCTAGGTTGCCTTGTGCCTGGACAGTGTTACACTGCCGGAAGAAAAGCAGCCAGTAGCTGGTGGGCATTCTAGGCCTGGTGAATCCCAAATTTGTGTCAACTACTACCAGTAGGCCAGTATAGTTGTTTTATTTATTTATTTATTTATTTATTTATTTATTTATTTATTTATTTGGTTATTTATTTATTTATCCATTTGTTTTGAAACTTATTTTAAGATAAATGGAGAAGGCATGGGAACACTGGGACAGAACAAGCCACCCTGGCCTCCAGGCAGGGAAGCTGCAAATTGCCAGGAAAGAGGGCCTGGGAACATACTGCAG